GACGGACAGCAAGACGGACATTGCACAAAACCAATATACTAATTCACTTCGTGAATGAGTATAAATATAACAAGAACATTGCAGTCGGGCGTTACTTACTGCGGAATACTCATCCAAATAAGCAATTTAGTTGCTAAGTTTTGCTCTAATACTGTAGGAAATTCAGGTTTTCTCGACTTGCCACGCCCCTACTGGGCGTAGACACTTCATTTATGGCCAGCTTATAGAACAAGCTAACGGTAACCTAAATTCTAAACTTTAATTCCTTCGTTAAAAAAATGTGAAAATTACAGGGTATTTTTCGATAATAATGATAATGATAATGAGGCGTAACAATTTTTTTTTTGGGAGATCGATAGCGGAGATTACTGGTAACCGAACTATCAAAATTTTAAGCTTCTAGCTCTTAAGTTGTAGGATATATAAACTTTTGCGGTTTGCCACGCCCCCCTTGGGCGGAGATAAATCATAGCTCGTTGAACTTGGGATGTCAACCTGCGTATATATACAAAATTTCAGGTCTCTAGCATCTATAGTGCCTAAAATATAGCAGAATTTGAAATCGTCAGGTCCGATTTGCCCCTCCCCTAGTAGGCGTGGATATATAATTATTCCACCCGTCTTAAAAGAATCGAAGCATTAGCTAAAAGGCAAAATTTCAAGAGATACAGTTTTATCCGTTTGTTGGAATGTCGATTTGCCACGCCCCCCATTGGACGGAGATATATCCGCCATAGGTGGGTGGTCGACTTGGACCTATTTTTGTACAATTTAATTAACAACATTACATATGATACATTAAAATAGCATATATGGTGTAGAGTAGAAGTCATTGATCTGCAATACCCAATTTATTGGCAATTGTTTATAAATTGTGCTTTAATTTGCAGACAAGGTTGTTAGCCAAGTCGCAAACCATTTTAGAGATGTGAAATTCAAAATATGGCACCATCCAACTCAGTGAATGCAAAACTGTACTGGTATAGATGATTGGAATGCCATTTTTCATGCCTTATTCATGATGGCATTTCTATTCGAAATAAGCTTACCTTCATTTGCAAGTTACGCATGATACGCGTCTCTTCCCAGCGATCAAGCTCGTCCCACTCCTGATTTGGATACATGAAATACGAAAGGGTGACTAGAATGGATAAGTGAATTGTACATTACTCACCTTACCGCGCTTACGCAGCAGATAATAACGATACATAACTATAGTTACTGCCAGCAGAAGCGCCAGCCCAGTGCCAGCTGCGGCACCCAAGACAGCCGAGCTTACTATTACCATTTTAGATCTCCCTTTAGACGAATGACTTTTCGCGTATTCTTCAGTTCAGGCGGCCTTGTTAGTTCTTAAAGTAAAAATATGGAAGCATTTACTTTACTATAAAATGTGTCTTCCCAAAGTATAAAATTTATCTTAGTTTTGTGCAATGTTCGTCTTGCTATCCACCAGTCCGTCTATATAAAAACAAACTGTTCCATCGCTATTTAAGCAGAGACTTACAATTTTACGTGATAAATCGAATTAGATTATATTTGTTACAGTTTGAATCCAGAATTGCAAAATTAATTAATTAACTAATTAATTTAAGAAGCTCTACAAGTCCACTAATTATTTTATATCAAACAAGTAAAAGTGTTCTTGTCGAGAGAGCTCAACTAGAAGATATCCTCAAACCGGCAAAGAAATAATATTCCAATCGTTCTGCCATTCTTTTATATACATACATATACAAACAAGTAATAAAGCTCTAGTGGAGACTGCTTGACTACGAGATACTCTGAACCCGTTCAAGAAACTGATAATTCAATAACATACTGGCACACACATACGCACATACACAGACGACTTTTTTTATCGATAAAAAATAATCGGATGAGTTATAGTTTTTTACTAATAAAATCGATATCCGCGCGATATATAATAAACATAATAAATGCACATAAACACACATATATACATACAACGACGGAAGCACACGTTCTGATAACGTCGCAATAAGCTACTTTCAGAAAGTTATGATAATGTTCAAATCTGTGTACATTCCAAATTGTATTGCAATACGTATTCGTATACAAATAGAGAGCGAATATGGACGACCTTCCAAAATCTGTAATTACATAATCTTTGTATTCGTCCAATGTATGTATATACACAGTAAATCTGAAGTCTCCAAGTCTTTAAATTACGCAGGTCTTTCCTGAATTAACCACAAATCCATTGCTCGATTATTTTCGATAAAGAGAAATCGGATAAGTTATCGAAAAATGTACGATAAAGTTGGACTGCGTTTGGAATACGTTTTTGGTATATATATATATAGCTCTTATATCTTCCGAAATCTCACACACAGACAGTTATATCTCATCTGTCAGCCCATGCATGTATGTATGTATTATGTATTTCGAATTATATATATAACGATGATCCCAATAACGATGATCCCAACATATAACGATGATCCCAATAAACGAGCTTCATTTACCTGTTAATAGATTTGACAATAAATTTCAATTTAGAGAGATTTTAAAAGGTTATATGGACTCCAATTAGCTTTATGAAATAACAAATTTCAACAGACAATTTTCAAATAGAAAGTAATGGTGCATGCAATTAGCAAATTTTATTTTAATTTTTTTTATAGCGTGAGTTGTGATTTTATTACTCTCATAGGTTGGAGAGTGGTATTATTCTGATTCTTGTGTTTCCTCAGCGGGAAGCGAATCAGCATCATATTGGTCCTGTGCGTAGTCCAAGTCATCATTGTCGTCCTCATTAAGTTTGTCATCTTCTTCATCTACATCATCTTTTTCATCCAGATCGTCTTTGTAATCTTCATCCTCTTTGTAATCCAGATCATCTTTGTATTCTTCTTCATTCTTAAGCTCATCAATATTTTCCTCCGCAATATCTATATCATCCGTCTGCTCAGTTTCTTCAGCTGTGGCTGTTGTGGAGAGCAGCACAAAGCCGAACAGGGCAAGCAACAAAATGGAGCGCATGTCGATTGGATTCTTAGTGAACTGATCTCTGAAGCTCTGCCTGGCAACTTTTTATACGGAAGCATCGATTTGACTGCCACGGGCTATATCTTATACAATTTAGCTGTTATTATTTGTTTTATAACAGCTGGCATGTTGAATGGAATCGAGTCGAACATGAATATTCGAGGTTTGTTAAATATTTGCATACTTTAACTTCATATTTGGAATTTTTGTGTATTCCTAATGAATATCATTTTTCTCAGAATTCGGATAAGTTTGCACAATTGGTGGCAGACGGAGGTCTGCTAAAAATATTTGCTATGTTCCCATACGTCAGCACGGCCTTTAAAATAAAAGCAATTAAATTATGCTAGGCTTTTCATCAGGCTTTCCAACATTGTTTTGCGGTTAACAGAGTGATAAAGTCAACTATATAGTAGCATTTAATCCGCACGAAGCCAATCGCATTATAATCGTTCACAGCTCAGTAAACTATAGTCAAGAATCAATTTTTTATTTTGATTACAATAATCGATCTTCAAAAAAAGTAATTCAACATAACCAAAATATTCAAGGCAATTTACAGATTTGTTTTTGAAGCAGTAAAATATTTATATACTTTATACTTTAGCTCTATATCTGAGGATGGTCAATCTTAAAGAATGGGCCAACAGTGGTTTAATTTGCATGCCTTGTGGATGAATTAAAATATGTTAATCACATACAAGCATATATGTATATGTTAATGCATAAATGCGACATCTGGAATTGACTTCCTTAACAAACAAGCAACTACGCAGTTGTTCGGGTAGCTCACAGTCGTAAGACTCGGCAAACATATCGGAAAATGAATTTTCCGATATGCCAAAAATCATATTAGTTGAAGAGCTAGAAGCCTGAAATATGGAATGTAGATCCACACAGACCACCCAAGATCAAGAGCTATTGAGGATTTATCTACACCCATGACATGGAGACACGGAGAAACTTAGAATTACTGACTGCTTCCCCTGCCGGTATTTAAAGCTAGAAATCTAACGAGTTAATTGCTATTAGCATCCTCTATAAATTTATACAAAACAAGTAAGAAAGCTCTAGTGGAGACTCCTCGACTACGAGATCCCCTGAACCCTCCAAGCAACTGATATTTCAATAATAATTC